TGTTCAATGAAGTCCGTCGTTCGCATCTCGACCCACAAAGATAGTTCGTCTTCTTTTCCACCGGTTTCTTCAGAGGAAAGGTCTCATTTTGCCCTCTTTTGTTGCGGATTTCAATTGGCCGCCGCAAGGGACTTTTTCTTTCTTCCGGCGATGTCTTCGAAGACAAGAAGGAACAGAATAGAGCGAGAGCATAAATTAGGTCATTCGATAAAAAAGAAAAAAAAACGATAAAAATTGACAATGTGATTTCCTCGAATCAATGCGTTAGCAGTATGTGTACATTTGTTGAAAAAGATACAACTAATTATGTACTTATCCAATTTCTGAATAAGCCACTCCCTGTTTGATAATATCAAGAATTACAAAGAACCATAATAAAAAGGGAATATTATCTAAATAGGAATATTACCTAAGTAGATAGATAAGTAGATTAAATACCTGCTCGAGTAATTTAAAGATTAATCATATTATTTGTCGTTGCATTATGTTGATAAAAATATTTATAAAAAGTGTAGCACTCTTAAAACATTATTATTGAGCATAATTTGATTATTTATCGCACATAAAAAATAGATAATCCCGAACTATTTAATGTTCACATTTATTCAATGTGTCACATTCATCGTGAAAAAAAGCACCGCCGGCGAAAGAACCGTTATCCAATTGTCACGAAGATACGGAAAATCTATTTTCGCCATTCTTTATAACATGTCACCGCCAATGGGAAGGAATGTTGGAACTCCTCGCTGACTTTTTCGCACCAGATCTTGATCCGTCGCGATCGTTTATCACGTGGGCGAATGATATATTAGTCGCCGGCGAACAATCGGAAAATTTGTCGGGTCATTAGCATTCGCGATTGATTCTCAAATGTGGCGAGATTTGATCAGAATTTTCTCAACCGTTTCATCCGCGATGCCGTCTGCTGTCCGCACCATTTGATTAATGATCGAAATCGGTCGCCAAATGCATTCTCGTTCGTTTTCTTCCAAGGAAAATCACCTTCGTTTGCGAATTATTGATATTCGATGAAAAACAATTCAATCACCTCGGCTCTTTTTTTCATTGGCATTGAAGACATTTACAATTATTAATAATACTATTGATTGTCATACTGTGATCTGTGCATGACATTACGATGACATTTCTCGGCTTGAGAACGATGGTTGAATGCATCATCAAAACAGAATGCTTTTTACATCGGTTTGACATTTAGGTTTAAATTGTAACTTCGTCTTTTTTTCCGTTTAATTGCGCTTTAAATGAGTGATTCGTTCTATACTTGAGATAAATGTTAGTGTTTTCGCCGTGATAATTACTATCTTTAAGGCTCGATCTTTAGCACCCAACATGAAATTTATGGGTCGCCTGAGAATAAGAGAATGCGTTTCTTACGCCTTTCATATAATTAATAATTGCGGTCGTAATATACTCGATAAGACTAGGATGCATTCCGTGCATATCCCGACCGGAGCAAAAAAGGGCGGAATTTAAGCGAGCGAGGATCTGCAGCTGGCATTGATTTATGGCGCTGTTATTATACGCTACTGCCAAGCTACCGACATCCAGCCGGAAATTTTGGCAAGTCTGTTACGGACAACAAAAATTTGTCTATTTTGCTAAACATCGGGAAACGCGAAGATATTTTTCTGATACTATAGAAACAACTAAATTGCAATCCAGCGCAGTAACTAATTTCTCGTATAACGAAAACACGGGATTAAAATTTTCTTTACTTAAATATTTTCTCGATATATCTTGATTGTTTTTCCGTTGTTTGTCAGCTTCCTAAAATAGACGAAACGGGGGAAAGGAAGGATCCCTTCGCGGAGGCGGAAAAAGCCCCTCGGCTTTATCGCTCAGGCCGAATAAACGCGAATTTACAGCTCGGACGTAAGCGCTCGTTCTAAATTGGACGATTTATCGGTGTTGGAGCCAGAGATGCGCAAGAAACTCGTTAACGAGGAGTAGCTTTTAACGACGGATTCAGCCGCTGTAACGAGGAAAGTGCAGGTCGGCGAATCGAAAGGGGGCTGTCATAACATTGCGCACTTTTACCCCGCACGTCACGCAAGAGAATCGTAAACAATACCCCATAATTAATTACTCGACAGGTCGGTTTATTCCCGGAAGAGTTCGGCGATCGTGCTAGCTTGCGAGAAAATAATTAATCGTCCATTATTGTCGGCAAATGTAATTATTACAGCCGAGTATCGTGCGAAACGGAACCGAATCCAGCTGTGAGATAACCGATCGCCGTTTCCAGTCATACAACGAGACCCGCGCGGCTTCGAATGATTTATAGAGAATGGAGATGCCACACTGTTAACCGCATTAAATCCCCTACTATAACAAGAAGCAATTTTCTTCCCTCGGAATATTTTTTTCCATCAAAATGCTTATCCAGCAAGATATGATATTCCTTTCTCTTAATGGATATGCTAAAGTCGTACATCTTACAATATAATTTGATACGCTATTTTTTTATATAATGCGATTAAAAATTTATACATTCATATCAATATATGAATCGTGCGATCCTAGAAAGAGATTTACAAGATCAGTATCTGAAAGAGAATAATAGAGAATAATAGAGAATCTAAAAATAAAACGGTGGGCGGAATCAATAATTTTTCGGAGAAGAGCTTTGACATTTGTCTGCTGAATGTTTCCGGTGTATATCCTGCTCGCTATTGAATCGACAAGGGCTCTTCCTCGTCTGGTTATTCCAGCGAAATAATTCAGGCAACGTGTATCGATGCGAGAAACGAGCGACACGAACTATCACCATCAACTTTGTCGACTGAGCGATTCTTCGATATTTTCCGGTTGGATTTAATTAAAACGACGGTGGGTGAGCAGGCGATGCTCAAGTTACACTTTCTCGGTTGACATTGTGTTTTAGACACACAACGTCGAACAACTATGAAAACTTAGTCATAAACGAGACTCGTGAACTTGATGAAATTTGAAGCTAATTCGCGGTGAAGTCTTGACATCATAATATGATGTTACTATTAATTAAAATCATTGTCTTTCGTACGTTCCTCAAAATTTTATCCAAAATAAAATTAGAACGTTAAAGAAGCAGATAAGAACCGAGCACACAATTTTATGGCGTAATTAAATTTTAAATTTTTTAAAGAAAGTCATTTAATCGAACATTTCGATCCATTTTCGGATCATTTTGAGCATTTATTAAACAAATTGAAAAAAAAATCTGTCATACAAAATAAAATAAATGTTATACAAAATAAAATACATACATATAAGATACAATCCGAAGAAATGACTCCGATTAAATGACTTTTCCTTTTAAAACTTTGAAGATTTATTTGTGTCGTAATTTCTTGCTCTCGTCTCGTTTGCCTGTTGAATTTAATTTTTGTGTGCAGAGTCTTAGGAAATTATTTTTTTTCGATTGAATACAATTACACTACCAGAGTAGTAGATAATAAATGCGGGTTTTATTGTTAGCCAAAAAAAAAACAAACGAAAAACGAGAGCAATCTTTCGGGAGTATTTTTTGATCCCCGTAGACTTATGTTTTGTTGACGTAACGGTGTGTTGAGTTCAGTAAATTCTCTCGTCGCGAAATGAAATACTCGACCTCTTTCTTCACCGTAAAAGAAGTTACGTAAATTTATTTTTCCTACGAAGTGAATGTAAATAAGTGCAACTTAGCAAATATGCGAGACGAGGCAAAAGTTCAAGTTTTGTTGAAAACTCAGAGATTCCGATTTAGATGCGCTTTGCGCTTTCTACATAATCGAGTACTACCGATTAGCGAAGGAAGTTATTACATATATCTTCTGTGCAACCAATATCTCTAAGCACATTCGGAATCGATGTGTAAGAGAGAGATAGAAAGAGAGAGATGTATCTGAAACCAACGTGCTTATAAATATACAATTAACTATCTTGTTAATCTGGGAAGAGTGATTAAATAAGCTGATAATTCAGAATATTGAATTTATAATCACTTGAATGTTAAACACACACATAATTGCAAATAAATTATAATACATATATATTACAGATTCCTCGCAATAATTCCAAAATAATTTATAAAGTAATTTATAATTCTAAACCGATTTATAATAATTTATAATTCTAAACCGATCTCAGAAATAAAGACATTATTTATAAAAAAAGAAAAAATTACATATATTTTATAATTTATGATACAAAAATATTATACAAATCGTAAATATGAAATATAATTATATAATTTTTATCATACATCTTAGAATGTATCAAGTTATGCTAATGTAAATTTCTCGAGTAGTAACGATCATTATTAATTTATTCATGATTGCCTGCGTCAGTGAATATTGTAATCGAATTAATGAGCGGGAAGCGACTCGCTGCCGAATTTGAATGCGATCTCGACGTTTATGAGGAGCAAGCAGTAATATTATGCAGCGAGTTTGATTGATAGCCTCGAGGTGCTTTCGGCGCAATTAGAACGATGCTAGTTTCAGAAGAATGCCAGTGATGTTGGTTAAAGTTTTCGATACAGTGTTTTTTTTCTGTCGAAGAAAACACGAGGAAACGTTTTAACTTCGCGAAAGAGTTTCAAAGTACGTTCTCTGAACAACGGCCAACCTTTTGTGTTGGTAAAATGACGCTGTAGAAAAAAAAAAAAACAACGAAAGTTAAGTCAAATGGTGCTTTCGTTGGGGTTAAGTTCTTTAGATTAATTGCGCCTTCTTATAATCAGAACAATAGCGATAGCGCGCGTTTACTTAGCTTATGAGTCTCGCGAACTCTTTCTCGCCTCGAAACTAATGGCACATGATAAAAAGGGTCGAGGTAAAAGCTGGAAATCAATGAATATAATTTCCGCAGTAGTGGTTAGAAGGAAATCCCTTTCTCAAACATTAAAGTTGTAATTAGATATCCTTTCGAAGAGAATTGCGTTTCCTTTTTTCTCCGCGCAATATTAGATATCGAATTGTAAATGAAGATTCAATTATATGTAAATGAGTTATAAATACCTGACGCCGCAGAAAAATAGTAAGAGGCTTCTGTTAACGTCATCGAATACTCACCTGGAAAAAGAAAACAAAATATGACATTAGAACATTGTTTGAATTAATGAATAATCTTACACATTTGAAGATAATTTATATAATTAAATTGTCTCTCTTTTTTAAATATAACTCTATTGCTCTCCTTTCCCCCATGAATAATAACTTTATCTTACATAAATTTAATTTAAACGTGTAATTTAATTATTAACAGATTTATTAACATGAAAGCTTTACATTTCGCGAAATATGAAAAGACAATCTATAAATTTATAAAGATTATATCTTCTGTATCAAAACACAATATACATATTTCCTGAAAATAACATCAGAGATCGCGTCAAGTGAAAAGAGACTTGATATCGCAAGCAAGTCAGACAGATATTTTCGATCACTGGATTGGTATTGTGAGATGGCTTCAGTGCTTTTAGGCGTCGAATGTAGTCGCAAAAGTCTCAATCGCGCCACGAGAAAAAATGCCACATCGAGTTGCCAGCTCAGCAATTCGAGCGTCGCTGAAAATATCAATGTATTGCCTCTATCATCGGTGTGATCTTGACAAGAACGATCGGCCAAGCTCGAAATGTCAATATCGTATACATTTATACGCAAATTGAGTCTAAATATGCGGCGTATTAAATCGTTTCTATATCGTATGATAAAAATAATTGAGATATAAAAATCATTGCAATCATTGCGAATGTTTGACATTTTTCTTATTAAATCTTTTTAACGCCTTTTTTATAAAACAGTTTAATAATTGAAGAATTTATTTAAGATATAATTTAAATTTTTGAAATTTAACTGTACAACGTTAGGTTTGTTATATCTTTTTATGGAAAAAAATTAATTTTAATTTTATTAATAATAACCTGCTTAAACATTAACATGAGAGAAATAGTAGGACATATTGTACATTTCACAAGAGTAAATAAGATGATATAAAATAGATGATATAAAAATATCTCAAAGGAAAAAGAGTATTTGTGTCAACTACAAAGACGATTGAACAAGAAAAACAACTAAATAGGAAAGTGTTTGAAGAAAGAAACCGTATCGATCACCGATTATTTATCTAGGAATAAAGTAGCGCGGTTCCGCTCTTGTGCTAGTTGTTCGAACTTGAATTTTCATTTTTTTGTAAAGTATTATACGGTACGGAAGGCAAACAAGTCGAGTGCATCGCGCATAAAGATTTGCAAGGAAACGCGGAGGTGGTATCATCATCGGAAAGATTCCCAGACCTCTTTTCCTTTAGTTTCACTTTTTTGCAATGCCCGAGATAAAAAAAAAACCCGCATGGATCCAGCACGAAAATTTTTCTCGGTCGGTTTATTGCCGAATTGAAAAAAAATAGAGATAAAAACCTCTCCGCTGTACAATAATACAGTCGATCAGATCGGTTTTTTTCTCAATTTTTGAATTCTTGAAAAAAGGCTAGATTGAGCATACAATAGTTTATCTAAATTCCCATCAAGTTAATATCTTCTCGAAAAAGGGTCTAGATTTATTTATAAAAAAAAAATAAATTCAAAGATTGTAGATATATATCACATATTTTTCCAATCAAAAAATTCATGAATCGCTTATAATTATTTTTATTTTATCTCCTGCTAAATTCAACAGAAAGAGAAATCAAGTGCTATTCCATTTTTAGACCAAATGACACATTTACATCGTAGTAAACGTATAAATAAAGTGACGGCATGCGAGCGGATCAAACGTAGCTATTAACGCTTTCTCTGTACCACGCGACTCTGTACCACTGTCCCCGCTTTCGAGCTAGGTATCTAAGATTTCCCAGTCGACCTCCGTCATCGAGGTATTCTCTCTGCAACTTTGTGAACTCGATTCCTCAAAGAGCCGACGATCAACAACTTGCGCGAAACCCCAGGAGTGCTTTTCCAATGTGAAAATTCCATCGAACTTCCTCTATTCTACGCCTCGCGGGAGATTATGATCGAATGTTTTGATACGTTAGCAAAGAACCCCTTTTCATCCCTATCTAATCTCTCTCTTGCTAGGAATAAGTCCGTTTTCAGAATTTTGTTTGTCCATAATTTTTTACCTTCGTAGAGACACATCTCCAATATTAAGAAAATTATTTTATAATAAAATATATAAATATAAGAATCTTTTTTTTTTAATAATTAGCTGTTGAGAATAATTTTACTGAAGTCAGAAAACTTATTCTAATTTACTAGTTTAATTTTAATTGCAAGCAACTTGATGCGTTTAACGATATGTATATATTTCATGCATTTTCGCATGTCCTGAGAAACTACATGAAAGACTACTTTGTAACTCATTATGCGGATAATTACTTTCCATTAACTCTCATCTAAACATCATTAAAGTATTTTGCCATGTATTACTATCACTTTGAAGTATGCATGTGTAGTTGCATTATCGTCATCATCATCATCATCATCATCATCATTATTATCATCATTAGGAAAAATTGGAGTATATTAATCTTGTGCTTTTAGCAAATCAAATAAATCGCATTATTGAATGCAAACGTGCAAGAGGCACGCGCGAGCGTCCTTTGATCCCGAGGGACAAGTCCGGAGGGAAGGACTGGTCGCTGAAAATTTCAGCGCAAACAAAACAATACACTTTGCGCGTGTGCATGCGTGCAAGAAGAGGATACCTTCGTCGCCAGAAGTTGAGGAGTTGTCCTCGGGTTCGGGCGACGACCCTGGGGACCGTCGGTTGAATTTCGAGTCCGATCGGCCGCATTCGCTACCGACGTTTCCTGTTCCTCCCCCTCTTCGGTTGTCCTCGTGTTGCTGGCGTGCTCCCTTCTCGGGGGACACCGAGCGGGACTCTGAGCTATCGGTGGGTCCGCACGTGCGGCCTCGTCGACCCTCTCTCGCTTCGAGTCCGGGTAATCGCTTGCTGAAGTCGGTGGGCATCGCCGGTCGCTTTCTAGGAGTACGTTTACGATTTTACGTTCTCCGTTTTTTTGGCGCAGGAAAAAAATCATCTTCCCCCGTTTCCTTTCTTCAATCAAGTATCAAGATGATCGTTCGCCAAACGAACTCGCGTCGCGCTATTATTGTTGTTCGTTTTGAATTAATAAAGCTAATTTGTTGATCGTACCGCACGCGCGAATAATATTTCTAATTAATATATGAATTAATTACTTTGCGCGACGCAACGCGCGTCAAAATAAATGTATCCAGGTAAAATAAACTGTTGACTATCGTGGCGATAATCGCGAGATTGGATGCAAACAGTTCAATCAGCGCGTTTTAACGCAAATCTCGATAAACCGTCTCCATTTCCATGATTAAATATTTATCGCATATCGAATCGCGTTCCGTATTTGCACCTCGGAGCGTGTTTGACGCTAGATCAGATTCCATTTGAAATCGCAATATTACGTTCGCGTTGTTGATTTTATCCGACGACGACGCGTTTAGGCTAATCTCGAGTATTCGATGAAACGGGAAAATGGCCGACAAAGTGAGCTGCAGATTGGACTTGATTCGGAATGACGAGATGTGATCAATCAATTTCCTCGGACGACAACGTCACGATAACGGATCGATAGATCCATTGCATAAAGCATCGACCATCGCTAAAATGTCATTCGACGCTATTGTTTCGCGAAAATAACAATTACGCAATTTTCTGCTTGCCGTGTTTTCATTAATTAATCGGAAAATATCGATTGATATTACAAGAAAAATAATTGCTATCCAGAGTGAAAATATAACAGCCAAGTAACTTCGCAATTTTCAAAAGTAATTACATGAAATATTGTAAATCGCGTAATTATAAAAATAATAGTTTACATTTTCTAATCAATTTTTTAATCAACACTCTGTCCACGTCATTCGTAATAAAAACTCAAACAGCCGAGTTAAAAAGTGTATAAATTCGAACGATTGGTTACGTGCGAGCTAATAAATGAACTGTCTCTTCCAAAGAGTTATCTTGTCCGTAATAAAAACCATGAATCCTTTTTATCCGTCAAGCTAATTCCAAACCGCGCGAGTTCTCGAATCGATGAAAGGATCGATGGTCGATGCTCGGCCAGTTCCCAAAGAGTATTGAGAGTAATGAACCAATGTCAATCTCGCACCGGACGTAAACGTACTCCCTGAAGTCGTTTGAGCGATCGGTCGATCTCTCTGCGGCCGACTCTTTGGACTCGACGGCGGCGTTTCCGGTTGACGGCGCTCGTCTTCCGGTGATGGTCCCTGGATGATGGTGGTCTCTGACTCCCTCGTGGCCGGCATCACGGACATTTGCCAGGTCAGCGTTGGCAGCAGTTTTTGCCTCCTTGGCGGGTGATGGCGGCGGAGACGTTGGTGGCGATGGTGATGGACTTCCTGCACGAGCAGAACTGTAGCACACTGCTGCCTTCCGCAAGGTCTCCCTGCACAGCTCGGAGAACATACTGTCTCCCCCATGGCCGGGGCCCACCGGACCAGCCCTTTTCTTCTTCTTTCTTCCAGTTACTTTTCTTGGAATCCGCGAAACAGTTACGAATCTCGTCTGTCGTTCATCATCGTCTCTTCTGTGATCTTCCCTTTTCCTAGCACGACGACTTCATCACGATAATTGGCATTACATCGCGCTTCTATGCGGAGAATCGATCGCTCGGCGACCTATCTAAGATCTGGCTCACGGATGGAGAACTAACGGCTTAGGCGAGCATCTAAGAAGAAGCGATCGGTAGGATTACACCTAAGATATCAGTTCACCGGTTGAGACTGGCTCGTGTTTCATAGTTATCGTTTTACTATTAATATTAAAAGAAGAAAACATATTATGAGGATATACGAGAAAGATAACATCCGGAATCTTCGAGAGCTCTATAGCACGATTTATTTTTTGATAAGTCAAAATTACATCTAATTATCTCAAGTTTTCTGCCATCATATTCTTACCATAATTCTTCCTCGTCTAAATATTTCATCGCGATTGTATAATTTATCATTCATATTATTCATTTTATGTGATAAAAATCTAAAAGAAAAGAAGCATTCATGAAAGTTAAATTTCAC